CTTTTACTTACGTGTATATATATATATATATATATATATATATGTATATACATTATTACCATTTAAAATAAGTTCTTAAATTTCAGTTATTTTTGAAAACATAGAACAGTAAATAAAGAATTATAGAAAATAAGTATCTCTTCTAGTTACAAACTTTGAACTCATTTCCTGCTTGCTGTTAAGCCTTATCAAATTACACACTTTCATGTGAAATGAAATACTTTTTTTTAGGTTTTATATATACATTTTGAAATAACCAAAAATCATAAATTACTGTATCAAAATCATAGACTTCCACTATGATTTATCAAGCTTAGAAACTAAGCTATATTTGGGTCTAAAAAAATATGAAATTTCAAGCTCACTAAAGACTTACCTTATCATTTGAAATCTGCCATGAAAAGAAAGGGTTTCCTACGTAAGTATCTTGCAAAGGCTCGGAGAACCACGTGGAAACATTCTGAGCTTTCAATTGGTTATTCACATGTCGTAGACAGGAGTAGGTGTATGTAAGCAAATGTTTTCAAAAATGGAAAGAGGTGGGTGGGTGGGGTTACTGTGTTTGATTCAGTAAATATAGCAATATCTCAACAAATAGAAGAAATAGGAGGTTTTTATTTCAGATTCTAGCTTGTTAATATTGGTAATTTGTTTTCCTAATTCCTAAAAAACTATAGACTTTGTAGTTGGACATCGGAAACATCTAATTTGAACCAATGATGCATTCAACATATCACGTGACACACACAAATCGATATTTAGGATCTCTTTTTTAATATTTACTTTTAAATTTAGAAATTAACTAATGAACTAATACTAAAACTTGAATTATAATCTATAGTTTCATATCAAACTTAATGACATACATTCATAAAATAGCAGTTTGATAACATTTTGAATGCGAGTCAACAAATGTGATATGACATGGCCTTTGATCCGTGAACTGTAGCGATAGGGTTAAAATATCATTAACTTTTTTGTTAAATAATGTAAATATGTTTTAGATTGATCAATCATTCCAATCCCAATAAAGTCATATAGATGTTAGGGCTACTTCTGAACTTTTCTGTACTTCTAAAGAATCCATTTTACATTTTGTCAGTCTGACCTTCTAGGACATTTGGTTGGACTTATCAAGATCTTCCATGCAGTTCTGTATAAGGTTATTCTAAGCCTTGAAATTTAATATGTGTATTGGATAATTTTTTCAAAAGCAAGGAATCCATTAAACTCAGATTAAAAAACTTAGTGATGAAAATATTTAAGTTTTCTTTTCAGTTTTATGCACTATACAACTGCTAATACTACACAGTGGTAGGTTAGGGGATATTTCTAGGTTATGGCTTCTCTTATGTTGAATGAGAATGACCAGTCACATGGATACTGCTAATTACTATAGGTAAATCCATTTCCCCTTGAGTAGAGTTAGATGATTAACTCATGAGCAATATAATTAATTACTTATAAGCATCTATTACATTGATTAATGTCTTGTAAGATAATTGATTTCTTGAAATTATAGTTAAATCAGTTATTGTCACAAAGAATAGTGTTTTCAATTATTTCAGCTACTTTAGATATCTTAATATTTCCATTATGATTTCTCATTATTATTTTTGTTTAATCATTTAGTGTCACAACTCACAAAAATAATCAACTAATTGAAATTAGTTTTGCATAAAAAATTGCATAAAAGTATTTTAATCTTGAATTAATTTTTGATTATTTGAACTATCTAAGTCTCATTTGGAAATAATGAATTAGCTGAATGTAATTGGTTATTGAACTTAACAATTAATTGATCAGCAAGTTACACTAATTGTCCAGCTCTATCATTAAGTAAGAAATCTTAGATTTAAACCTCATGAAATAGGTCTTCGGAGAGTAAACATTCTTCTTGCTGATCTTGAGTAAGTTAGATGAAGGGAAGACATTTTTAGAGAAGAAAACTATTTAATCAATTTATGAATGCAGAAAACAAGTACACATTCTATTTTTGTCTTTGACTTAATAAAGAATATTTCTGATATGATACCTTACCTCTTCTCACAGAATAGATTTTCCTGACTTGCACTGCCCTTTATATGCACAATGTTTTGCTTGCTACTAGCTTTGATACTCCCGCCACCCTCATGTTTTCACATGAGGTAGCTGTGTGATAGCGTGCAAATGAGCATGTAACAATTCTCCACCAATAGGAGTGTGATACAACTCTTAGCACAATTGACTCACTCTATGCAGTTTAGCCCAAATTTATTTCTCAATTGTTGCTCGTGGTATTTAGACATGTTTTCCACTCACACTTTATGGTATTTTCAATCAGTTCCTTGTTTTTTTTATGGGAACTTAATATTTCTTTACATTTGCTACATGTGTATTCTGAAATTTTAGTTTGTACATGTTAGCATTATATGTTATTTATTCTAATATTCGATTCCTGTTTGGTCTTTTCTACTTCCACTCTTAGTTGAAAGGAATTCCGAGTTTCACATTTCAACTACCACCACCGCTATTCCTATTACAGTTAACTTTACTTTGACTATGATGGCTTTTGGTCCACAAATGTTAGTGATAGATGTTACTGCTCTGGTTTCCTGGGAGTTGGCCACCTTCATGCAAGCTCCTAATTTGTCTGAGGATTATCCTCTTGTGCTTTGTTCAGGGGTACCTGAACAAGAGGACGATTATTTTGATAGCCTGTTTCCTCCCAATTTCTGTGCTCCATAGTCATGTTTAGCTCCAATAGAAGTGCATAGGCCTCCACATGACCTCTTTGTACTCGTATAAAGTCTTTATAGATTTGATAATACTAACTTTTAATACAGTATGAATATCTTCACAAAATTTGGCAGTCTTTCATTATAAGTCTTTCACATGCAAAAAATCATATTTTTTAGTGAAGTATTTTAAATAAACTAAAAAAAAGATTTGTTTGTGAATATATCAAGTATTTGTTTTGAATAGTCTAGGTGCA